AGTTCAGATTTTTTTCAGATTATAAATCTAATCTGAACTGAAAAAAATCTGAACTGAACTGAAAATTTCAGATTAATTCGAAATTTCGAATCATTTAAAATGATGAAATTATCATTCTAAACAAACGATAAAAGAATCGTTTGATTGGAATGATCAAATTATCGTTCTAAACGAATGATAAAAGAATCGTTCATTTGGAACGATTAAAGTTATCGTTTTAAACGAATGATAAGAAAATCGTTCGATTAGAATAATGAAATTATCATTCTAAACGAATGATAAAAGAATCGTTCATTTAGAACGATTAAATTATTATTCCAAACGAACGATAAAAGAATTATTCAATTGGAATGATCAAATTATCATTCTAAACAAATGATAAAAGAATTGTTCAATTAGAACGATCAAATTATTATTCCAAACGAACAATAAAAGAATCATTCATTTGAAACGATTGAAGTTATTGTTCCAAACAAACGATAAAAAAATTGTTCAATTGGAACAATCAAATTATTGTTTCAAATGAACGATAAGAAAATCGTTCAATTAGAATGATTGAAATTATTATTTCAAACGAACGATAAGAAAATCGTTCGATTGGAATGATTAAATTATTATTTCAAAAGAACAATAAAAGAATCATTCATTTGGAACGATTGAAGTTATCATTCTAAACGAACGATAAAAGGATCATTCCAAACAATCTGAAATTTTAGATTAATCTGAAATTTCAGTTCAGTTCGAATTTTTACCAGTTTACGGTTTGATTCAGTTTTGGATTGGCATTTTTAAGATTTATAATCTGAACTAAACCGAACTGAAATTTTCAGTTCAGTTTCAGATTGGCCTATAATCCGGACTGAACCGAACCATTCAGAGCATTAATCATACCAATCAGAATATCCTGATATAAAAAATGCTAAATTTTCACATAAATAGGTTGATAGTTTCATATCTCAGCATAATCTATCAAATAGAAGAAAAATCACAATTGCACAGTGACTTTCTGAGGATTATGCAGAATAACAATCTGAATTTTTATCGTATGTTATGTATTTGAGAAAAGAGAATGAATATCTATTATCTCTTATCGGAAATATAAATGAGATACTAATATCATTCAATTTTTCAAGTAATACAATTGTGGAATAATCCAGTTCTAAGACTGTATCAATTTTGTCTACAGGTTATGAACGATTAAATTTTACCATTGTGTTAGCTTATTTGGTTGATGGGACTAAGCTACCACCGGTAATTATTTTCAAACTCAAAAAGATTCCTTGAGAAGAATTCCCTGAAAATCTAGTAATTCGTGTAAATTCTGAAAAATAGATAAATGAAAAGGAAATGATATGGTAGATCGAGAATATTTAGACAAACATTCAAGAAGAAAAAGCAATCCAAAATCTCTCTTAGTAATAGATTTATTTTCTGGTCATAAAACTAATACTGTAAAAAAATGATTTCGTGAAAAGAAAACAAACTTAGCTATCATTCCTGGTAGATTAACTTCCAAATTGTAACTGCTTGATGTTTTCTTGAACAAACCTTTCAAAGCAAAAGTACAAAATCTTTATAATCATTAGATGTCAGAGAATATACTTCATCAGAAAAAATTAAAAGACCCTCTTATTCACTTGTAGCTACTTGGGTAAAGGAAAGTTGAAAAGCTATAGATATTGATATGATTCAACGTTCTTTTAAGTATTGCAGAATTTTAAACAATATAAATGGGTTGAAAGATATTTTAATTTTTAACTTTGATCGATTAAATAAAGATAATCTTGGAAGAGATGTTATTTATGATAATGAGATTAGTGATAGTGATATTGATAATAGTAATAATGAGAATAGTAATAGTGAAGTGAGTGAATTAGACAATAATTATTATCAAGAAAATGAAGAGCAACATATTATTCATAATTGGTTTTAATAATTTTATACAATCATAATATACTGTACAAAGATTTTTTTTCTAATAATAAAGTATAATTTTTAGGATATTAGATTGATTCAACTAAATAAACTTAGGAAAGGGTCAGAAATCACGTGTTTAGAAGAGGGGGGGGGAGATATTCTTATTGATCACGTCTATATATAGTAATTTTATGTATTATTAATTATTCAAGCAAAATTTATAAATTTTTATTTATTTATTATAGAAATTATATTATTCATGATCAGATAATATATTTCGAAAATCTAAAACAATTTCTTTAAAAGAATGATTTGAAATATCTTTATAAGTATATGAATTTCGAATATAATTTGAATTATGAAATAAAGATCTATGCTATGTATGAACTACTTTTTTATGCTCTGTTACAAAAGATAAAGTTAAAAAATATTTACCACACAAATTGCAACACAATCGTTAGTATAATTCAGAAGATATAGATGGACAATACTGATCATATTTAGGAATTTTCAATATATCAAAATATTCAAGAATATGAATTGAATTTAAAAAATGATTATCACGACCTTTAGAAACAGATGAGAGAAAACCATTATTTTGTGCTAATAATATGACTGCTGCTTCATAATGTTTTGGTTTACAACATTGTAAATTATTACATTTACGAATATCAAAAGAATAATGACAAATTTGAGTGTGATTTTCTATCCAAAATCAAGAAATTGATGTTTTCATTACATTATTTTCTGAAACATATTCGGCATATACAGAATGATCATTAATATTATTCATTTTCCACAACTCACACAAAATTTTTCCAGAATAAGCAAAATTCTAATAAGCTAAATTATTATTAACTACTTTTCCATTTCGTAAATAATTGCCATATTTATTATGAGAAAGTGTAATTCCTGTAAGTTTTTCAGATAAAGATGCTATATTTCATTCTATAGGATTGTATACAGATTGACCAGATGCATGTGTAAGAATTGTCATATAATCCAAGTCTGCATCACAAAAATATTTACAGTATTGTTTTATATTTTTTAAATGACATGGATTTTTATTAGGTCCTTCATCTACCAAAAGAACTACGATTGGTCGATGCATATTATTATTATCCAAAAAAGATAATTGAAAACTTTGAAGATGTTGAATTTTTTGTAAATCAAATATGACTTAAAGCTGTTGCTGAAATCCATAATTCTGGTCATACAAAAACTGCTAATTTTTCTGATCACATTGATTCATTTGTATCAGTCAGATCAATTACAAGATATACTGAAGGAATTAATTTGTATTTTGAAGATACTGAAAAATTATGATCGGAAATAGATATAGGTTAATTTTGTAATTGAACTGTTGAAAAAGTACAACTTACTGCTAGAATTCCTAAAGGTACTTTTGCTTTATCATCTTGTGATATAATAATTGAATTTTCAGAAAAAGCCTCTGCAAATTACCTAGCATCTTTACAGATGCTAAACAATAATGACTATCTTCATGTGAACTCATTTTATTTTTAGATACTGCAGTGTTTCTAATAAGAGCTGGATGGTGATGATGTTTTGCTTGAATAGAATTTGAATGGCATGGTAAAAGGTATGTTTGAAGACAGGACTTTGATATATACTGATTATAATTTTCTTTCATAGCTGAATGAAGATGTGAAATTGTATGAACTTTAATCCATTCTTTCTTTCGACGATTATCTGCTGAACTAAACTCTACACATGCATGTAACTGATCATGTAATTCTAGATTTTTGAGAATATAAGAAGGTCTACCAGGTGAATCATACTTTTCCACAATATTTTTTCTAATAATTGCCGTTTTCATTTCTAAAGTCTTCCTTGTGCTGCTGCATAACATTTTAAATGATTAAGCTGTTTATTTTGTTGTGTAATTACTTGTTTTTCTTTATTTATTTGGTGTACAAGTTGCCGTTGCATAGAACTTTTCGTTGTAATATCAAGTATAGTATTATATTCTACTAATTTTTTTTATGCACATTCTCTTTCATTAATAGTATGTTGTTGTGCTATTGCATTTAACGGTGCTTGATTTCCTTATTAAATTTGGAACGAATTTGTATAGACTTTTGTTTAACATGATGAATTAGTCTAAAGTTTTTGGAATTTAAAGTTTGAAATCTATATCTTGTTAATGGAATTGAAGTAGCTAAAAAACTTGCAATAGTATTTTTAATTTCATCTGTATTGTTCGATTTTATTTTAGCCTACATAGCATTTGCTTGCTCCAATAGTTGTTACTTTGGTAGTGTTGAATTCGAAAGTTTGATCATTTTTTGATACGCTCATGCATTACAAAACTCATAATATAGGTGTGTTGGATTTAGAGTTCTGGACGAGTCAAGTTAACTCACGAGTAGATAAGCTGAGTCGAGTTTAAATCAAATCGAGTTTATGTTTTTTTTGACTCGATGATTTGCGAGTCAAGCCAAATTCAAGTTGAGTTAAATATTTAACTTGACTCGATTTAAACTCGACTTGATTTGAGTTGACTCAAGTTGACTTAAACAATAAAAAAAATCGTTCAAGAAGAACGATAACAAATCGTTCAAGAAGAATGATAATAAATCGTTCAACTTGAACGATAAAAAATCATTCAAGAAGAATGATAATAAATCGTTTGACTTGAACGATAAAAAAATTGTTCAAGAAGAACGATAACAAATTGTTTGACTTGAATAATAAAAAAATCATTCAAGTCGAATGATAACAAATCATTCAACTTGAATGATAAAAAAATCGTTCAAGAAGAACAATAACAAATCGTTCAACTTGAACTATAAAAAATCGTTTACTCCCCTTCTTTCCCCCTTCTTCCTCGATCTTTTCATTTTATTTTATTATTTTTTTATTTTATTTTTTTATAAATTAAATGTTTATAAGAATCGAGTTAAAATTGAGTCAAGTCAAATTGAGTCGAGTTTAAAATTTATATAACTCAAATCAAATCAAATCGAAAAATTTTATAAAATAAATTTGACTCGACTCGACTTGAAAAAAATAAGTCAAATAGAGTTTGTCTTTAAACTTGATTCGACTCAACTCATTCGAAACTCTAGTTGGATTTTGTAAAGATATTTTTTTTCAAACTTCGGATTTGTTAAAAAAGTTTGCATGCTTTAATATTCACAAAATATATGAAACGAAATAAATAAAAGGATAGATAACTAGCAAAAAATATTTGTTTATTATTATCAAAAAACTATCATACTAAGTTGCTTTTGACACAGAGAAATTTTTTTTATAAATAGGAATTAAGGAATGTAACAGTTGGAAAATTATGAGTTCCTAAATAAATTTTTTATAAATTTGTTAGTAAAGATGAATAACGGCTTCTGGATCAAAACAAATAAAAGAAACACATACCTTTTTATTATCTTATAAATGAAAAGGTAAGAAAGAGAAATCCATACAAAAAATTTTTTTCTAAAAAAAAAAGATTTAGCATCAGATCATGAGAGGGGAAGGGGTCAGACCTTATATTAGTATTTAATCACATGATTTCTGACCCTTCCCTTATTCTTGTGAAAATTAAAAATTATCGCATTATATGCTTCTTCAGAGCTTTGCTAAAGAAAAAACTTCATCTATCACGAGATACGCCTTCTTGTCTCCTTCACTCAAAACTCTTTTATGGAGTAATAAAGTTTCAGCTAAACATTTTGTAGTAATAAAATACCCAGGTATATATTAATTTACCTAATTTAAAAATTGAATTATATCTGGATCTTAATTTGAGAACATTTTTTTGCATTTAATAAAATATCTGAATATATTATTATGAAAGTATGGTTAAAGGAGGTCACTTAGACAGTGCTTTACGATATTATTCTTTAGATTGTAAAGTTTAGCATACAAATTTGCCTACTTATTTACTATAAATTTTCTTTTAATTTACTTTTATAAAAATTTTTATTAAATTAATTTTATAAATATATATTGATATTATATTTAAGATTGTTTGTCTAAATTCATTTTAGATATGACAAAATATTTAAACTATAGTTTTATTAATTTTTTACTAAAGTTTTGATATACAGTTTACCTTTAATATAGTGAAGTAGTCATTTTATACCTTAACTTCGTTATAATAAATTAGTGAAGAATTTGAAGGATTTGATTGGTTACTTTATTATAAAAAGGGAAAATTGACATATTTAATTAGTCAAATATTATGTGATTTATTATATCAAAATTTGCATCTCAATATAATAAAGTACTAATCTAATTGATCAGACCTTTATTATAAGAATCTTCATTAATACTATAATAAATTATTTAACATGTATAATGAATTATTTGGATATAATAAATAATTACTGATTTTATTACACAAATATAATTTTACTATGATATAATTTTTTCAGAAATATTTTTATGTTATTTTATAAATTCTAGTTATTTTATTTTAATATGCAATCTGTTAATAATTATACGACAGTTTTAACCTTCTAACGTAAAAATAGAAGAGTTCAATCTATGTAATTAATGATATATGAGAATATAAACCTTATTAATTTATTAATTTTTTTTTTAAAAAAAATTTAATTTATCATTTTTTTAAGGAAATTAAAAAATAAATTAAAATATAAAATGAAAAGAAAACAAAATAAGATGAAAAAATGAAATTAAGAAAACTAAACAAAATGATAAAATGAAATTAAGAAAATAAAATAAAACTATAAAATAAAATTAAGTAAATGAGACGAAATAAAAAATGAAATTAAACAAATGAAATAAAATTATAAAATAAAATTAGAAAAATAAATAAAATAAAAAAATGAAATTAGAAAAATAAAACAAAATTAAAAAATTAAAAAAACAAAATTTTTAAAAAATTAAAATAAAATAAAATTTTTTAATAATTATTGTCTCACAGATACATTATGATTTCGTCTTGTATTTCAGATTTATTTCACAGATATATCACAATTATACTTTATATTCCAGGTTTGTCTTGTATTAGGTAAATTATGATTTCTCTTTTAAATGTGCCTCAATTCTAAAAAGTAAATATTTTTAATATAAATCTAAAAAATTATTTAAATATTTTTAATTATTACCTGACCTATTCTAGAATCAAATCCTGAAGAAGTTGTATAATCTTTCTATCATATAAATCTACCTCTCACTTCTTCTCACTCTATTTTGATAATTGCAGAAGTTCTAAAAGATATTAATTATACTATTAAGTTATATTTATCATTATATTATTATTTATTTATTTACTTATATTATAATCACATACTAAATTCTTCTATTTTAATTTATATTAGTAAGTAGAATATATTATATCATAATTGATTCCTTAATTTCTAACTATTCAATTGTCACTATTTCAATGACTAATTTCTTAAACATCTCTGTAAATAACAGATGTAGTTCTCAGAAAACTTCTTTTGTTTATTCTTATATGAATGACTAATAATAGGCTAAATTTGCATAAAAATCAGATAATATAACTCGCTTAATAATACTACAGTTTAACACAGTCTTTACTAAACCAATCCTGAGATTTATTTCAAGATTCTATTATTACTACCACTAATTAATGTATGCATAATTATATGTAAAACTAGAGCCACTCAATACAAAAAATGATCTATTGATCTTTTATCTATTTACAAAAAATATTAAACTTTTACACAAACTAAATAAAGTAATCAAAAAGTATCTTGATGCCCATATCATATCTTCTGAGTGATCATTCTTTTATAATAAGTTTATTAGTATTACCTATTCTAATAACTTAAATGTGATAATTTTCAATTCTAATTTTGTCACAGAATTTATTAAATCTGTTTTCTTAGATAATAATCTTTTATTAATAGATCTATATATTGAAGCAAAACTTAAAAAATAAAAATTTAAAATAAAATGCATTTAAGAAGCCTTCCAGTAAACCCTTCAGTTTAGAATTGATAACTATAATACTGATCCTTTTCATATGATTAATTCAGTCCTAAATTGAAAAAAAAGAGTCATTTCTTTTAATATATATAGATAACTCACAATTAGATAAACCCTTACTTACTAATAACGTTAATGTTAAAAATAAAGTTAATAGACACTTTTAATAAATAGTAGGTATCACTCATAATAACAAAGAAATTTCAGAGGAGTGGATCTCAGCCTACTAGCTAATTGATAATATTAATCTAATTGTATATAACTAATTTATTTCACTTCCATCAGTAAATTAGTATTATAGGATTATCAACTAATTGCTAAATGATAAAGCCCTAGACTTTCAAATATTTTAAATAAGATGCTTAAACATCTAGATTCTAAAGCTAAAAAATACCTATAGTTAATTATCTGTAGGTATCTTCAACTATTCTCTGTCTCTATAAAATGGAATTTAGCTTATATATATCTGATCTCTAAGCTTAGTTCAATCTTAATAATATAAGATTGATTACTCTTTTTAGAATATTTTAAAAAAAGTTTTTATCAAATTACTTAATACTAGACTAGCCTTAATCTTTGTTTAGCATAACATTTTGAAAGAATCAAATTTTGCTGATCTTCCTTTTAAATTCACTTTTGATCTTATTCATATTCTAGATAATATTAAATAAAACACTATTTCTAATAATTCTGAACTGTGGAGTTCTTCTTCAGAATATATTTAAGATATATAACTAAGTCAATGTATTTACTCTGGTCAGGGTTATGAAAAAACTTAAAATTTTATTCAGTTTCATTCGTATTATCATGAGAATCTTTCTTTCATGTTTCAATTAAATTTTCACATCATATGACAATATTAACTCCTTTCTTATTTACTTAGAAATTAATCAAAAAGAAGTTATCTCACTTTTTGTTATAGTGTATTTACTATGATCCTTTACTATGTTAAATTCAAAACTCATCACACAGTTATACAATAAATTGTAGTTAACAATTAGATATTCATTCGCCTCACACTGAATCTTATACAAAAAGAATATCTGCTTTAGTATTAATAGATGATACATTATGGATGCTAAATTAGTAAATGATCTGTCTTCTGTTGTTAATATTGCTAACAGTTTCTATACTTTTAATGATATTTAAGTTAATTAGCCTAAATCAAAGCTTTTGATCAACAAAGTCTAATATGATACCTTTACTATCAATTTTAATAATAATCTTTATCAAATTATTGTATATAAACTAAAAGAAAGCATCAAATATCTGAGGATCTGAATTTTACTAAAAAATAACAAAATATTTATCATTAACCAAATCATGAAGAGATCAAATTTGCAGTCATCATTATGCAAAATAAACAGTTAACAGACATGCAATTAATATATATTTTTAACATCATTATACTTTCACATATTAAATACAGATTCCAGCTCATATTGTCTTCAGAATAATAATACTTCAGAATCGTGACTACTTGTATAGCTTTAGTTCAAAAAATATTTTTCAAAAAAACTCCTTCTTTCTTGTTCTTCTTATACTATTTTTATAATATCATCCTTTTTATTAATAACTCATCTAAAATTTTAGCAACACTTTACTGTAAATGATTAATAAATCTGATTTATTAGAAATTACTTTTGATATCTATACAAAATATTTATAAAATAAAGAATAATCACACAAAAGTCTCTTAGTTCTCTAATATTATAATACAAATAACTTCAAAGAAGATTAGCTTTCAATATTACTCAGTGCTTTTAACAAGTTTTGTATATTAATCAATATTTTTTCTTTCAAATCGTATATAATTACAGATAGAAATACTTCAATAATTGATCTCATTAAATCAATTTACAGAACATATGCTAATAATCTCAGAAAATGCTTAGTTTTTTTTATTAAACAGTTAATTAACTGTTATGATATTTATACAGTCAACTCTTGATATAGTGAACTCTTGATATAATGAATTTTGAATAAATATAATAAAAATACTCTTGTTATAGCGAATTAGCCAATCAAATCTCTTAAAATCTTCATTATAACTTTATAGCGAAGTTGAAGTTTAGGACATAGAGTTCGTTATAACAAGAGTTGACTATATATTTATATATTTATCTATAAAGACTTTTTTATATAACGTATTAAAATACGAGATTTGCTCAGATACCTAAATAGTTTACTATTATAGAACAATATTTACAACTTTCTCCAGATAAATTTATTTCTATACCATTTTTTACAATTAATTTACAGATATAATCTGCAATAAAATAACTTTATTTCTAATAATAGATCATATACAGTAGAATAGAATAATACTATAAATTATTTTATTCTTAAAAGAATAATTCATACTATATATATAAAATAGTATATTCATGAAAGAAGTCCTGATCATAATACTAAGCTAGTTTTATGCTCAAATTGTTCTCTCTATCAGGAATCAGCTGCTGATTCTGATAGATTCAATTACTATCTCATTATTCCTTATGAATATTATACAGCATTTTCTAATAATTATTATTATGAGCTTAATTTCACATTCTTACCAGTTAATGTTCTAAACGAATTTGCTCTTATCTATACAATTTCTGTATCTTAACTACAATTTTCATATGTATCTCTCCTCTATCATTTACTTTCTATATCGATAAATTTATTTTTCTAATTACTAACTTTTTCTTCACAATTTTTTATATCTACAGAATTAGAATTCTATATTAACAGTTCCTTACAAGACGTCAGTCTTTTCTCAATTAGAATAGAGCTCGTTTGACTATAAATGCATTCAAATTTGCCAATAGTTTTTTTTAATACATCCTTTTCTACTAGTTTTTTATCTTTCTCATTAATAGAATTTGTAGCTTTTTTATAGCCCTTTTGACCATCTC